TTTTTCTGATTTTCTGTCTCCACCTTTAAAAATCATTATCTTCACATACCTACCGCAACTAGTATTGCTTCTGATTCCAAGGCCAATTATTCCTCTGCAATTTAACTATCACATACTTCCCGAGCTGCCGTATACATAATACATATCTATGAATTTCATACCTCTTGTTCTATACTCACTAATATACCCATATCCAATATCCAATATCTTTTTCACGAGCTAGTGTAAACCAATTTGATTTCTTCGCGCTCGATTCGTGTTCTTTCGGTACGGTTCCAGGTGTTCAGTAATGTCCAATGGATGTAGGTCTAGACACTCGACTGTCCAATTCTAGTCAGTTAGCAGTTGGTTATGAGTTTGTATGTCTCGGGATTTGAATGGAAACGTTTGTTTCAGGGCTGTAGGGTTTCTGGATACTAGCAGCCGTCACTTTACTAAACCGGAGATCAGTTATTTGCAATGTGGAGAGTAATAAGGGTAATAAGGATAAATTAAAATGATAATATGAATAAAATTTCAGAACTGAGTAATATATAGATGAATTTAGTTTATTAATTGGTGATGAGGATTGTGAGAGAGGACCGAAGTGTAAGCAAGGTAGAGGAAACAGAGATAATAGGCGAGATAGATTAATTGAGTGATCTGAGATGGTAATGATGACAACTAGCAGGTCTCAAGATATGCATCATGAACAGCTTGTCAAAGAGGGATATGATAGTCCGCATGTGAGTGCGTGATTATCAAGTCTCTTCTTAAAGCAGTCCACTGAGGGGGCTGTAACTACCTCGGCTGGGAGAGCATTCCAAGTTGCGACGACTCGCAATGAGAAAAAGTGTGCACGAATCTGAGTGTTCGCTCTTTGATGTGCAATCTTTCGAGGATTGCCTAGAAGGGGGTGGTGGTGATGCATTGGTAAGATGCTCACATTGGGATGGTTAGGCGTGTTTAATATGGTGTACGCCATAATAAGATCACCTCTGATTCTCCTGTAGCTCAGTGGGAATAATCCCAAGAGCTGGAGTCCATCTTTTCACCCTATCACCAATTTCGTTGCTCGTCTCTGCACCCGATCCAAGAGATTTATGTCTCTTTTAGGCAGAGGGGGTGCGATGACGTTGTGAGCCTTCAAGTGTGGGCGTGCGTACGTCTTAAACAGGGTTAAATATAATTTCGGGGTGATAGCCTCAAGCTGTCTTCGCATAAAGTGAAGAGTCGCATTTGCCTTGGCTGCATCCCCTACATGGTTTGGACTGGTGTGGAGGCTTTCTGTGCTTATTAAACCAAGATCGCGCTCTGAGGAGACATTTGGGAGCGGACTTCCATTGAGAGTATAGGTCGTTTGCTTCATATGTAATTTTCCTTACAATCTGTAGATCAGAACTTTTCAGACTTGCACATCGTTGACACAGCGGATTTCTTATCACTTTCTGTGCATGCAATTGTTTTATTCGTCACCATTTCCTCACTCCCATTTTTAACAATGGAATTTCTTTCTGAGTTGCCTTCAGCATTCCACCTCAGTTTCTAGAAGACATCGGCAAGTTACATGTATGGGCAACGGTGTGGAATCCGCCACTGAATGATCACTGTACATATTTCTCTACATTAGCCACGGCTCTAACCTCAGTCTTCAGAAAAACGTACTGAAACCAAGTAATATTTCTCGAGTTACGGGTGTAAGGAACAGCCCTAACTTTTCTGAGCACATTGCAGTTGAGGTATCCATAGCAAGAAAATTCGCTGGGTTCATACTGATAAGTTTCAGAAAACCGAGTCCAGATTATCACCATTCTTGAATACGACATACTAGTTTACAGTAATATCAGACAATTGTTTGATGAAAACTGAAGACGTTCAAAGAAAATTCACCAAAGCCCTTTTGGGGCCATTGAACTCACGAGTTATTTCAGTCTGAAGGGCCATTATAAGTGTATAGAAGCACTTAAATACTGCCTTTTATAAACAAGAATCAAGGATATATGTATATGTGACCATCCCTAATATTAAAAACAAAGATAGTGATCTGTTGGAGGTATGCGCGATATGAATCTCAGTATAAACAACAAGAACTTTTAATTTGGACACGATCGATTAGACGGAGGGAATGGTTTTTTTTAAATTAACCAAACTTAACGTATCATATCCTCGTAGGTTACTAGTATTAGTGAGTTCGAGACTGATGTGACCCCGAAACTTAATCAATGATTAACGTTTGCAACTAATTCCGATGTTTAAACCTTCAAATGACTCATTTACACAAGAATATAAATAAACCAATGTAGGGTTTCCGATTTTTCTCCTGAAAACAGAAATCTAGGATTTTCAATATTCGAGCTGTAAGGTCGCATAACTGGTCATCTCGCGCGTTTTCATCCGATGGCGGTTGGTCAAGGTTAGTCCTCAAAATGATTGAGGCTAAGTATGGGCACTGCAATATTTGCTTTGATTCGGTGCCATGTGAAAACATGTTATTTCTTTCTCGCTGTGGTTGTTCGTTTTGTCGGCAGGTTAGTTCATTTGATTTTCAGTGAATAATTAATTTACTATATATTGCACTTTAATCATCAATTTTCTAGATTTGATAAAAATGGAGCCGTTATATTTTGTGCATCTGTATGTCTAAGTTAGTTCTGTCAATAATATTGGAAAGTTACTGCAGGCAACTACCAAAGCGTTTATGCAATCAGCTTGTTTATAAACAAAATACTTCGAACTTTCCTTATATAAATGTATTTTCCGCCTTTGAAGCTGAGTAAAAGTAGCAAACATTGCACACCATAAATTTTGCCATTTTAAAGCGAGGAAATATGTTAAGTGAACATCTTTAGACGCTCACGAACAGATAAATTGGGTTCCTGTTGCCGTACATTTGAGACGTCATTTGTTGCTTTTAATCAGAGCTGATTGACTCTAAATCGTCGGCCACTACAAACATGGCAAAACAACAACCTGTAATTTCGATCATATCCATAATTTGCTTTCTTTCACCATCTTTCCACCTTATCTCGCTATATTCTATAATGATTGCCTTGTTTAGTATAAATATTTCGGTGCTTTCCTGGCTACTTTTTTTTCAAATAAAACATGTAAAATCTTAATGAAGTCATGCAAAAATTCGGTGTTCGTATAAAAATATTTCGAATATCTCATTTTTTTGAAAATGTGTACCGTTAGTGTCTAAGTCATTAGTTTCGTTGTGGACATGAATACCTCCTTGAGTTTGTCTTTAGCCTGAATGCACAATTATGCTAGTGTGAAGATCATAACATAACTTAGGTTTCGAAGTAACTAAAAAACTTTTGTTCAACTGAGTGGAACTTTACAGGTGCATTGAGCTTTAATCTATTCTAGACTTAATACAGCTTTACAGCATGATTAACTAACCGAGTGCACTGGCATATCCGAGAGTAAGGGAAGTCCACTCTTCGCCTCAATGCTTTCATATGGTCCTGAGTATATAGCCACTGCCAAATAAGTCTTTGTAGCATTCTCTTGGCGGTAAAACTGAGAGGACGAAAAGAGGATGTCTAGCACTTGAACTGGATTGATGAGTTCAGATAATCCATATAAACCAGTCGATCAGCTACAACATAGAATCTGGCACGAACGTACACCAGTTCTAGTTTCCATAACATGTTAGCACATAGAGATGAAATTGTCAGCTTAAATCCCATAGTGGTAGCGTTTGTAGCAGTATTAGTGGTAACGGAAAAGATAACAAATTGAAGAGATAATTCCAGAACGAACGATGGTCTTCTTTCGACCTTCCACCATTGAACCACTGACGCGCAAAGCAGCTTGCATCGGCCAAGGAGGCTGATAGCAATGTAATCTAGTTGCGTCCAGTATTGAGTCGATTTTGGGGACCATATCGAAGGATGTTTGTCCTTAAACTTAAAGTAGGCATTTGCCAGAAACAGACGGCTATCTCAACATTGTTGTGGCAGTCGGTCGCAATTATCCGTTCTATCATACATGAGACTATGATGTCTAACTCGATGTCTTTCCGTTCCACTTAATCTACCTACTTGATCCTTGAAACCACCAGCCACTATTACTACGTCTAAACACTTAGCTTTTAAAGGAGGTTGGAAATCTTTTTGTAGAATTCACCTCTTACTTCATCTGAACTGCTATCAGTGGGATCCACCTAGCGAGGTTGGAAAAACCTGATTCCAAACCACTGATACACACGTGCTTCGGGACCCTAATGAAACAAATAGCAAATAAACAGACTGTCGCTTACAAGCTGCCAAGCCACTGCATCCCTCGAAAAAACTCCACTGCCTTGTGAGCCAGACTTTTGGGCCGTAGGCTCGGGAGTGGTGTTCTAAGGAAACGAATTGTTTCAGTTTGGGCACCCAAGTAGTATCCCAGTTCACACATTCATTGGTTTATATGGAGCATAAATATTAAAAGTCTCTGTACTATTGCTTGTGTTTAAATAAACAAATAAATAGGTTTCTGTTAATGCGTTCATTTACTTCAGTCCATATCATCTATTTTTTTTTCGAAACATATTCTTCATGACCATTACGTGTTTCTAAGCTGATGTGATTTGATGACTTATATACACATATTGTCCAGGTTCTACTATCCTGATGAAAAAGCCGTAAAAACATGCTGTTGGTATGAACCATTGCAAGAGTGGTTATTTGTCTGCAACATGTTTTCATTACATTTGTACTGAGTTTTAAGAATGTCAACCAGCTTTTCAGACAATCTTGTTTGGTAGCTAATCTGAAGGTAGAACCCTGTTTGATAATTCAAAGGCGTTAATGCCAAGATAAGCGGTTAGTCTGAAATGAGTGTGGAAGTGTTCATCTGTTCGGTGGATAGTAAGTCGAAAAATATACTTCTCGGGTATTGTTTATCATCTAACTGTATGTCTGAACGAATCTTAAGTCATAAGATTTAGGTGTTCTGAAATCCCTATTATTAAAACTGTTTACTTATCGGTTGGCTGTCTGTGTCAAATATGTTGGTGTTTTTTCTTTTATAGTGCCTAAAGACGTATGTTATTTCTGTATTACAAGATCGAGTTGATGTTAATTGTGCTTGTCCAAGTTATCCTTGTAGTCAAAGTGGCCAGTTGACTGACTCAGAGGTAAGGTGATTCGATTATCCTAATAACAATCATTTTAGATAAGAGAATTACTACCTTCTGATGTTTACGAACGATTTTCCATAAAGAAGCTTCAGCGAGGTTAGTTTGTTATCCATTTTCTCAACTGAAACATAAATATTAAGAAATTGAACAGAATGTGAACCTAACATTTTGCCCAGCAGTAAATTGTGGTGCTGTTTGTCAAGTTCCTTCTAGTTTAAAAGTGCCCATGCCAAATGGATTAAATCCACCCACCAAAAATAATGGGCATTTTCTGGAACGCTTTACTAGATGGTACAGAAGATATCTTTGCAGTTCACCAGAAGATACCACTCACATTTCTCCTAGTACCAAAGGTGCGCGTTTTCGTGTCGATCACACCTTGAAGATTCAAAACGACACAAATTACAAGTCTAGTGGTAATTTTGTAAATGAAAACAACGAAGATTGTGTAAAGGTAGGGATTAATTCGTTATTCAACTTGATTAAATGAAGTATTTGACCTATTTCTTGTCTGTTTTGTGCGGATTTTGTTGGTTTTGGTACGTGAAGCGTTGAACTTATTTATTTTATCACTAAACTTTATAATAATGGGACGCTTAGTTTTCGTTTCTTCGATATCGTATTCTACTTAGTATCGTCATTCATTTATGTAGTTCGATAATATCATGTTTGATTAAGCTGTACTCTTTGTGAAAATGCTCATATCTTACTTAATGGGGATGGTAATGTGTTATGATGAATATATCTTATAATTTGGTTATTTAATCACATCATTTATTCAGTGACAGCAAATAACCTGTTATCATAGTTTTAAAGTTCAGTATCTGAGTGATTACTTTGCATAGTTCAACACTATTTTACGTCATAAAAGCTGTATACGTATATGAAAGAAAATCGGTAATTTTGAGATTAGAAAAATCCTGTATTTATTCTACAGCTGCTTACATTTTTCTTCTGTAGATAACTACCAGTAAACCTGTGGAAGCTAAAGATTTAACCCATATACCCGAAAAGCAGAAGGTGATGTGTCATGTGAGCCCTGGTCGCCCAGCTGTACGTGTCGTATGTAAACAGTGCTCCCATGAATTTTGCGCTCGATGTCATTTAAACTGGCACATTGGAGTTGGACCTTATGTATGTGAAGAATATCCTCGTACTGTTGTGAAAGGAAATAAAATTTTAAATACTCAATCTCCAAGTCAACAAAATTTACTTGAAATTTCGGAGAAAAGTGTGAATACCCCTAATCATGTTAATTTTCATCCAGACCCAGATTCTATTACATTTGATGAACACAATCCACAGATTATAACGCAAGATCCAGAACTCACTAAGTTATCATCCTTAAGAAAACAGCCAGGAAAAAATAGACTAAATAAAATCTCTCTTCGGCGATCCAAAAGAAAACGAAATGATTATTTACAGAGTCATATTGGTGTTCATCTTCCCAATCCAGAGGTCAATGATACAATTGATGTCTCCGTTCTAGCTGTTGGGTTTCCTCCATATTCTCCTGATGACTGGCTGAAGCGTTGTCCTGCTTGTCTAGTTCCTATTGAACGTATCGAAGGTTGTGCTCAAATGATGTGTCGGTCATGCAAACATACTTTTTGCTGGTATTGTTTGACTTCATTAGATGTAAGTACTATTCTATAAAATAATATTTTTACACTAGTTATTTAACTTTCAATTGGATTTAGTCTAAATTTATATGTGTGTAGACCTGATACCACTTTATTGGCTTGAATGAGAAATAATTGTGCTTACTTTTAATAAATAATATGTTACTAACATATTTGTTAACACTTCGTAAGCATCATAAAGAGGACAGCTGTCAACAATAAAACACATGATAGTAATATTTAAAAATAGTATTTGTGAAAACTGCATGACATCTTTCTACACTTGATTGTAAGACATGAGACTGCTTTTTAATTCCATATATCATATAGATAGGGTAGTTAATTATAGAAATTAAGACTATAAGGTTAAAAAGCAAATAAACCTATGTCATGAAACTAAACAGGTTATGAAATAATCTACTGTGTACGATCATGCGTATTGTGAGAATTATTAAGTATTTAACAAATTCCAGTTTTTCTGCTTTTCTTTGAATTACTTTTATGACAGCAGTATCAAAACAAAGTAAATAATTTTCTTTGTGGTTTTTAATCATTATAAATGTCCCATGAATAACAGCTTTATTAGTATCGTTTCTTAACATATCAGTAAAATAACAAAAGTTCTTTTACACAGGATGATTGAAACTGAAAACAGAAAATATGTTGTCAGTTATTATATGTAATTACTTACACCTGTTATCCCTGGTGGAGCATAGACCACCGACCAGTATTCTCTAACCAATTCTGTCTTTCACTCTTCTTTCCAGTTTTTCCCAATCGCTACTCATTCTTTTCATGTCTGTTTCCAATTCCCGACGTAATGTGTTCTTCGGTCTTCCTCTTTTCCTTTGGTCTTGAAGATTCAAAGTGAGGGCTTGTCTTGCGATGCAGTTGGGTGCTTTCCTCAATATGTGTCCTATTCTATTGCAGCTCTTCTTTCCGCTTTCTTCCTCTACTGGAATCTGGCCATTGAATCCGGAGTATCTTGCGTAGACAGTTGTTTATGAATACTTGTATCTTTTGTATGATGGATTTTGTGGTTCTCCAAGTTTCCTCTCCGTGCCACAGAAACTGTCTTGACGTTTTTACTGAAGATTCTGACCTCGGTGTTGGTTAACAGTTGTTTTGAGTTCCAAATGTCCCTTAACTGTAGAAATGTTGTTCCTGCTTTCCTGATGGCTATTCTGATATATTCGAATGTTAGTGGGCTAACATCAATTGGTAGGTTTGTAGGTGCTGCATCGATGTTGGTTGTGTTCAGTGGAACTGGTCTATTCAAGAACTCCTCAGAACGCCCGACACACATGTTTCGCTGTTGTTGAACCTCGTTGATTGATTTGTCCTCCTCGTTCTCGACTGTTCGTCCTGCTATACTGTGTTTCCCAGATAACTTCTTCATTTTATCATAAAGTATTTTCATGTTTCCTTCTCTTTTAGCTTTCCCTGTTATCGCTGCTTGATCTGCCACATATTTCCGTCTATCAGCTCTAATGCTCCTCTTCAACCACTTGTTTGATTCTGAACCTCGGTCTTCTATGCTGTTTTCCGTTTGTGATTTATCAGTGTCTTCTTGTTCTTCCCTTGTTTCTTGAATCTTATTCAAAGTATCAGCAGAGACCCCTTTGTTGTGACGGTGCTTTTGGTGACTCTGAACCTCCTGAAATGTTGAGGTAGTTACTTTTTTAATCTTTTTCCATTTGATCGCCATGGAGTAGATTGTGTGATTCTAGGAATTCGTTATTGAGAAGTATCTTGGTTTTGTTGAGTTTATCAGCATCTCGAAGGAATGCTATACTTAACTTTTGTGAAGTTGTTTGTCCAATCGTCCAGTGTTTCTTTGTTTTCAGTTTCGTGACTTCCGAAGAAACTTGGTTTTCAGTATGAGGTGTCATAATATCTTTAAATGAAGACTCTTATTGAAGAAAGAGTTTGACAGTTTAAGTGATTTTCCTGGTCAGTCATTTTTTTGGCAAGGTTGTTTTCTATGTGATGTGGTTGTTAACTTCATGTCGAATCCTCCTCTGGGAATCTGGGCTTGAAGTCAGTAGTAACTCCAAAAGAGCTGCTGACGGAATTTACCAGTGCTCATGAGAATTTTCGATGAATATAACCTCATAAATATGAAATTGAATTGGTATCCCTTTAAATATTTCCAAAAATTATCATATAAACTTTCAAACATGACTTCTATATAATTATCCTATTGCTTTACTACTGTTATTTTTATCGGAAGTTTGTTTTTCATTGATAATTTATTTTGCAGGATGACTTCCTTCTCCAACATTATGATGACGGGGCGTGTAAAGGAAAACTTGGTCATTCTCGTGCATCAGTAATTGGTCATCGAGTTTATGTAAGTTATTTCAGTTTTAAAAAATATATTTAAAATTTTTTTTAAAAATATCCTGTTATCTGTTGTGGATTTACTATACATTAAATATGCTTTCATTAAATTAAACATTTTATTACACAATTTCGGATCCCTTTTTCATCTGTCAAAACTTAGAAATTCGGTAGAAAAAAGTTTTATTTCATGCAATTATGTGATTCATCACTTTTAGCGCTTGTTCCATGTATCCAGTGAGTGAGTGAGTGGGTGGGTGGTACATTTAGGAATATAATCTTCATCGCAACTTTTGTCTCAGTCATCTGAATCAGGGTCTGAAAATTACACTCATATACAGTGTTCAAGCACTGAATGAACAAAAGGATGTCTGAAAATCTTGGATACTACACAATTATTAGACTTCTCGAACATCAGGCAACCTGTCCTTTAGTTCATTCATCAAGTTTTTATGTATTACTTTCAAGTGTTCATTTCTTTTGAAAAAAAATTTCTGCGTATATGAACATGGATTCGGTAAAGAATCATATCATGATTATTTGATGATATGATTGTCCATCGTGAATTGTAATCCTATTTCTCATCAAAACTTGATAAATTCGCGTTATACATTTGCTCATACATACTTTTTAACTTTGTAAATTAGTGAAAAAATCACTTACTCCTTCTATTGTAGATCATTAAGTATTCTCTATAATTTTATGTGTATTCAACTTTCGGTCAATGTTTCTAGTTTAGAAACATCCGTTTCAGTTAAAACGACTAAATATAGTATACTATCCACTTACAACATAGAACTTCGTACGTACGTACATCACTTCAGGTCGCCTTACCGGACGCAAATGTCAGTTCAAATCCCATAGTGGTAGCAATAGTAGAAAAATTTGCGGTAATGGAGAATATTAGGTGTTGAAGATATTATGGTGAGGAATTCAGAAGGTTAGGATTTGAGAGAACACAAAGAGTGGATGCCCCTGCTCCATTGCATACGATTCTGAGCCATGTCGTTCAAGGTCTCTAACCATAGGTGACTTTCGTCTCCCGGACCCCAACCAGGTAGTCTACATCTACCAACATGACTCAGTCAACTTGTCAGTGACTTTATTGATTTGTGCCATGTTTTGGTTTGGCCATCCCTAGCTTTCTTCCAACCTACTGCTACACCACAGAACATAAACTGGGACAATCAGCGATTGAGACCCATCAGATAGGATAACGCCCAGTTCCAAGATTCTACCCAAGATCTCGGTCAGTCTGACTATTCAAACTGGACTATCATCCTTAAAAATCTCAGGAGTTAGCCTATCAGGTCCTGCTGTTCTCCCTCGCTTCAGATTTCCTATCGCTTTCTCAACTTCATAAAGATTCTGAGGGCCTACGTCGACTTGACATTCAGGATGACTGGAGATCGTGGGTAACCGAAGAGTGGCTTAAGGTCAGTTGAACTGATCCCTGAAGTGTTCTGCCCATCAATCCAATCTCTTGGATTGAGAATGAATAGTTGTCCCATCCTTTTCTGAGATAGTTTCGCTAATGGATGGATTTAGTATACTATCCTAATAGTATCAATTGATAAAGTCATTGACTAGTTTAAGTCTTTTAACAAGGTACAGATTTCCTAATCGTGGTCTTTTCGATAATTATAGTCAATGATTAGCCATATGGCTCAAAGTTGGCCATAGTAGAAAAATATTGTTCTTCATCTTCTCATAGATCATGAGTAATAATACTATTTAGTTTACTTTTTATTTTTTGGTTAGATTTTTTTCCAACTAACAAAAATACTACTATTACTTTGACTTCTTTGGCATGTTTTTGTTAATCTGTCGTTTCGCTAATTCGTTGCATCAACTTCAGATGATGCATAATTGTGTCAGATTTTACGTTTCTTACGATTGACTAACTTGTCTGATGTTTACGGGTAGAATTATAAGTGTCTGTCTATACACTTATCATTAAGGCATAAATTTTGTGTAAAGATTAGTGTTAATACACAGTTGCTCAGAGTAAATTTGTATATTTTCATAAGTTTTATGTCAATGCTTTATGTAGACATTTATTTGATTGATTGGCCTCCACCTTCATAATACAATATTCTACTAGTGAAAGCTGTTTTTGATAGTGAGCAGCCTAAATAGCTCAATAGGTAACACATGTTCTTACGTGAACATCACTTCCCAGACTATTGCAAATGCCCCCTGCTAATAATTAATAAACTTAAGTTCAGAGTTTTCTGCTAATTGTCTTCAATCATTTAAATGCATTATAGGATAATATGGATAGGCATCTAATTAGGGTATGTCATATAAAAAAAAACCCAGTAATTGATCTCAATGAGTTTAAATCTAATTGTTCAGTTCGTAGCATTTTATAACATGAAGAGGTAGGATCAGATCGTCATCTTTCTCTTGATTTTGCATCTAATCCAATTACCTTGGATTGATCAAAGTTAGATATTAACATCGTTGGATACCGACGTTCGTGCGGGAACCGAAGGCCCTCGGTTCAACTCCTACGTGAGGAGGTCGTGGATACGCACCGCTAATGAGTTTCAAACTATGACAAAATGGCCATTCAGTGCTTCCAAGTTTCTAGTGATGGTCTAACATTAATCGAGTCATAATTCCGATGAAATAATCCAATTACTATTGGTTCGTTTTTTAAAGCTAATATTTTTTCGATTGCTTTGTCATAACTAACTATAAACTACATAACTCTACTTTCATAGGCTGTTAGACTTTATTTTCTTATCTATCCATTTATTTCGTTTAAACCCTATAATCAGGTTGTCAGTGTATTTACTGGACTAACGATTTTGTTACTTATTGCCGCTCCATTTATCATGGTTGCTGTACCATGTATTATCTGTGCAAAATGTCATCGACTTTATCGTCAACACCGTCTACGCAAGCGGCATTCTCAGGGTTTATATATGCTTAATGGTCGTGTAGTTACTACATCTGGATCTTCTAATGTACAAAATAATCGAACAGATGCGCCTCAACTTACTTCTACAACTCCTCATCAAAGTATATTCATACCATCTTATAGATCGTCTGTTGTCGGTCTTGATCATCGACCAACTGTGGAACAGAAAGCTGATATTCACTGGTCACCTTGGCAAAACGAATTAAAATGTACATCTTCTCGTGCGGTTATGCATCGTTCTTGGTCTTTGCCTATTTATTGTTGTACAAGATCACCTAATACCTTAATCACGACTTCACATACACCGTAATTATTATTTTTCTTCCTAGAAATTCTTAGTTTTGATTCATCATCGATCAGGAAGTTATGTATAGTTCATAATCGTTTTCTTTTTTCGTCGTTTACACAATTCAATAATCAATGATCTTGTCAATTTCTTTTTGTGTGTGTATACTTAGTATACGGAAAAAAAAGTAGGAAAGAAAACATATCTCAACGTCTACATTGTTTTATTCCTTGCTACCTTATATAATTAATATCCATAGTAGTAATATCTGTTTGTTTACTTATTGTTCAATTTTCTATATTGTTAAAATAATATCCTCTTCATGCATTTATCAATTTGTCTATTTACTTAATTATTTTTCTTTTTTTTAAAAAAAAAATATTTCTATTCAACTTGATCATGTAATTGTAAATCTGCATATATATATATATGTAGATAGGATAGTTAGCTAAATCTATGTTGTACATAAACGTGATCATTCCAAGAGTGCAAAATTAATGCATGTTAGATTTGTTCTCACTTTGTGAATGTTATTTCAATTTTGTTTCACATTATCCTTATTCTCTTAAACATTGTTCTCACGTTGATAAACAGTCCTTCTATAATATATATATATATATATATATATATATATATATATATATATCAGTTATTTATTTAAAATAATTATCTACTTATCTGTTTGTTTACTTATTTACAGTAATTCGGTATAATTTAGTGTTCTCTCTCTCTCTGTTTTTTTTTAGTCAGATCTACTTTTTCTTTTTAAGACGTTTTTTTTCTTTCTAATATTTATGCATGCATATAACCATTATAGGACGTGTTTTTAATTTTCTCTTCAAGTTCAGTTCGATCGATTACTAACTAGTTCAAACAAATTCACCATTATAATACTTGATAAACTTTCATGCCGTTCTTTCTAGGGATTGTTTTTAATTTTGTGTGTATACTGCTTCACTTCTCTCTCTCTCTCTACCCACACCATTCTGACTGATTACGCAATTTCCATACAACTTGTGGCAATTGCGTAATCCTCTTTTTCATTGATCTATGATTTGAACTATCTCAAGTGAAAGCGAAAAGATCCTAATTTTCCTAGTCATGAATTTGCATTTCTCAATCTCATTCTTATTCTTCTTATTCTTCTTCTCCTCCCCCTAACTTCACTGTGATAAAATTTTCTGCGATTATAATATTATTATTATTCTATAGACTTTTACTGTTTAAATATTTATTTATACATTATACTCTTGACAATTTTCTATCATTATGACTAATTGTAAATGAGACCAATTTGTGTTGTTAAACTTATCTATCCATTGTGTTATTATTACTTAGTACAAAATGAATATTTATAAAAATTTAAACACTACTTCTCTTGTTAATATTATATGACTTTGTATTGTTTTGTTTTGTTTTGTTCTTTTTCTCTTAATGTTTGTTTTGCATTCTTTCAGCTGAATGAGATTGATTCGCAGTACATGTGAATCAAATTTTACCTAAAGATACATTTATCTACTGGTGGTTTTATTTCTTTTCTTTTTTTTTGTTTTTGTTATCTTCTTTTCTCATACAAGTTATCTTTTCTTTCATGAAACATATTAGTTTGTAATTATTAAATCATGTTTTGTTTTGTTTTGTTTTGCTTTTTCTATCCTAATAACGTAATACTTTCTAATATGAATTATTTAAAACTATTTTGTGAATGTGTGTGTGTGTGTAAGGATGATTGAAGTGTTTTGACTGTTAAACTTGTCAAGAGTATTTGGTTGAAAGCATTGTGATATACGGTTTCCAAGTCTTCTTGTAGTACACAAGGTCAAACAATTATTCGATTGAAAAGCCTGAAGGCAAGAAAGGAGGTTGATTGACTAACTGAGTTGGCATGTGTATGCACTCATCCATGGAATAAGGCATAAACTATTGTTATTTTAATTTTTTGAAGGATATATATATATATATATATATATATATATGTATATATATATATTCAGTATTGCAGTTTACATCATAGACGGATTTTAAACAACTATTGAAAACAAGGAAGCATTAAGTTTTCTTATCGTAGTGTGGGACTCCTCAGCAGTGCGCATTCACAACCCCCCCATGGCTAGCTCTTAGCCCTAATCAAATGGTGTACATGTTTGACTTCAATAGAAACTTCATCAGTTGAGGTGGTTGGGACATGTGTTACGTATGCCTAACCACCGACTGCCTCGTCGAGCTATGTTTTGCGATGTAGGAATATGTTAGAGGAAAGCTAGGGCCGGCCAGACCAAAACATTGGCGGAAATGCATGAAGTCACTGACAAGTGGACTGAGCCATGTTGGTAGGTGTCGACTACGTAGTTGGGGCCCACGAGATGAAAGTAATCGATGGTTAGAGACCCTGAATGACATGGCTCAAAATCATTTGCAATGATGCAGGTGAATCCACTCTTTGTCTTCTCTCGAATTCTAACCTTCTGGATTTCTCTTTAAGTTTATCTCACTAGATTCTACTTCTTGAATGATATCTTCTAACCCTAATCTCTCCGACTACTGCTAATACTTTTACTACCTCTACTACTATGGAATTTGAATTGATTATTGCATATCTGTGCTAATGTGGTGTGGCAACTTAAAATGATGTAGCTATCTACGATGCTGTTGATTGATTCAATCATTTCGCGATATTCAATAACCATACATAATTGAGCCAGTTTGTTGTTACATTGATTCAGTGATCTATTGGTTTTTTGGTTTCCGGTATGTTACTAGGCAATTGCATTACAATAGAATCTTACTTAAAAGTAATTGTGAATAACTTAGTAACCAACTTATCATTTAAATAAACACAAGATGATCAGTAAATAACATTAATATTTGAAAATAATTTTTTTCAAGTGTTACCTAAACCTTTCGTGATGATTCTGGCTTGTGTTTTGTCCTCTAAGCTGAGGTCTTTAATTTAGAAGCTATTAATGTTATTCTGGAGAACAGCTTACTTCAAATAAAAGTGAATTACCTAATTACTTCACTTCTGCTAAATCAGTTCGTTTTAATGATATTTTGCAACCGGTTGTATTTGCTTGTTTTATTTTAGTCTTCAGTCGTCTCCGAATATCCGCTGATTGTTTTGTTCCGTCTACATCTGACCGTGTAACGGTTTAATTTTTTTCGTATGCCTTAGCAAATTAAGTTCCAGTTGGTATTCATGTTTGCTGAAGACTGACCTGAGCTTGATGCGCTTATCAATTTTCCTACATTCTTGGAATTCTTTCGACTCTTAATTTTGACATTTACATATTTATATACGTGGATTGATATAAGTGGTAATATATTATATTTTGTTTCATGATGAAATGGGTGTTCACTTGTTTAATATATGGAAAATTCCCATTTTGTGAATTAGAACAGCATATATAAGGGAACAATATTGTTTTCACTTCCATCTTCATCAAACCATAAACTATCTTCCTTTTCATGTCCCTCAAGAATTACTCTTTCACGGTGTGTACAGTTGGAAATTCTCAACCACCCTCACACACGAGATCAACTTTTTCACGATCATATCCTTCCTCCACATCTTAATAGGTTTCCTGTCTCCACTACCAACACTTCTCGTATACCTCGCGCCGCTAATCATTCAAGTACTCAAAAAGTTATTCCTAGCTTCCGAAATCACGTTGTAAACTACATGTTGCTGTGTTTAATATTCGGAACTTGTGCCAAATAGGATAACAGGCTTCCTTAGCCAGGACTTTAGAATTTCGCGCCACCAATTTATGCTGCATCTTTGAAATATGCATACAAGTTCCAAATGACGAATTAATCCCTACCTTTACACAATCTTCGTTGTTTTCATTTAGAAAATTTCCACTAGACTTGTAATTTGTGTCGTTTTGAATCTTCAAGGTGTGATCGACACGAAAACGCGCACCTTTGGTACTAGGAGAAATGTGAGTGGTATCTTCTGGTGAACTGCAAAGATATCTTCTGTACCATCTAGTAAAGCGTTCCAGAAAATGCCCATTATTTTTGGTGGATGGATTTAATCCATTTGGCATGGGCACTTTTAAACTAGAAGGAACTTGACAAACAGCACCACAATTTATTGCTGGGCAAAATGTTTCAAAAAGAATGAATGATATGAACTGAAGTAGATGAACGCATTACCAGAGACCTATTTATTTGTTTATTTAAACACATATTGGTACAAACAGACATAATATTTATGCTCCACATAAACCAATGAATGTGTAGGCTGGGATACTACTTGGGTGTCTAAAGCGAAACAGTTGGTTTCCTTAGAACACCACTCCCGAGCCTACGGCCCAAAAGTCTGGCTCACAAGGCAGTGGAGTAACGTCGAGGGATGCAGTGGCTTGGCAGCTGGTGAGCGACAGTAGGTTCATTCGCCATTTGTTTCATCAGGATTCCGAAGCTCATGTGTATCAGTGGTTTGGAATCAGATTTTTCCAACCTCGCTAGGTGGATCCCACTGATTGCAGTTCAGATGTAGTTAGAGGTGAATTTTACAGAAAGCTTCCCAATCTCTTTTAAAAGCTAAGTGTTTAGACGTAGTAATAGTGGCTGGTGGTTTTAAGGATCAAGTAAGTAGATTAAGGGAAATGGAAAGTCGCTTAGATGGATCTTATAGTCTCTTGTATGCTAGAACAGGTAATTGAGACTGTCTGCCACAACAATGTTGAGATAGCCGTCTGTTTCTTGCAAATGCCTACTTTAAGTTTAAGGAGAAACATCTTTCGACATGGTGATCCCCGAAATTGACTCAACACTGGACTACATTGCAATCAGCCACTGGTGGAGAGGGTCGATAGAAGACCGGAGCACATGTTTAGACTCAAACTACGCTCTAGTACGATCCCGTATTTGTCTGCAGCTTAGTGGACGTAAGAAAGACAACAAGAAACCTCTACTTAACAAAAAACCAATAGCATATTGTAAGAGCAAGTAGAAAAACAATTTGGCAGCCTTGTATGTGATTCCCTTGGCCCAGCAGCTTGGAAGAATTTTCAAAAAACTATGGACACAGCTACCACACCTTTCAGTAGGTTAAACTAAAAGGTTATCGAGAAGTAGGGGATTTCAGTAGGATCTACTGAACTAATGATTGCTGGGAAACCTATACTATCTGTCTCTGAACACGGTGATGAGTGGAGGCAGCTTAAACACAGGCTGATAAAAAGCCTACTCAATGATTGTAAGCAGCGGTTGGTAACGGAAGCAAGCGAGATGAAAAATGTAGCACTAATAGACAACCGTTCAGGTTTATCAAGGAAGCTGGTATTAAAAATCCAACCGCTTGCGAGAC